ATATATAGCGAATGATGTTATATTAATTCTTTGCCTCTTCAATAATATCAGAAGTTTAATTTGTGATGGAATATGTTAGGGTTAACAAATAGATTCAAATTAGTTTGAGAGTAATAACAGTTGACTATTGTATAAAAATTGTGTGTATCTCGAGATTTTTATGAGATATATAAATGAAAAATACCTTTAATCTTTAAGGCTTTCTTTGATATATCTAGAGAATCTTAGAGAAAAATTCTTTTAAGTAGTATGTGAAAGGATATAAAAAGTGATTCCAAACTTGAGTTTGAGTAAATTAGAAAGATAGTCTTAATTTTATATTTAATTATTTTGAAGGATTTAGGTTTGAATCCAGTTGAAGCTTCTTACCATAAGGAAAACATGTTCTTGACCTAAATCTCATCCCACCAATGGTTGGAAATTTCTTGTTCTATCTCGATAGGGATTGAGATTGATGTCTCTAATGATATATGATGAGCGTACATGACTAGTCTCGCATGTGTCAATTGTCCTCTTTTCCATAACGTTTATGTGGCACATGCATTGCATGTGTGACATTTATGTAAGCCCATGTGGAGCCATGCATGATCTTTATGACACCGTTACCACAGCAGTTATGGATGAGTTCAATTTTAGAAACGGATTCGGATACTATTAATTGGATTTAGGATGGTTTCGGGTTTGGGTTTGATTTGGATTCGTATCCACGTGTACCGTGTACCAACTATATCGACATCGTTTAGCGGGTCGAGTTTTCTCATCTAACCCGTTAAAATTAGATTGGTACCCATTAATTGAGTATAGAATGAGTTGGAATACAACAGTTGAATTTAGGTATCTAGAAAATCCAAATTCGATTTTTGACTCAAATCAAATTAGCAAACACCTCAATCCTAACATCAATATATGCTTCCAGAACACAATAATGATATTTATGATTTCTATTATACTTTCATAACATAATTTAAAAAAAAAAATATTTTTTTAATTATAAAAATGTGGATTTAAACATGAGACTTATTAATTATAGTGACCTATAATTAACCTGACATCATAGTGACCTATATATATATATATATATATTAATTAACCTGATTATGAGAAAACATAGAAGTCGTATTATGATATTTTTATAATAATTAATTTCATATCTTCCACCAATAATAGTTAATAATGAGTATGTGCAGTAGTCTGCTCTCGCCCTTTCTCCCTCTTCTATCATTGTTAAAATGGAAGAGAGATGAAATATTGGCATGAGCTTGCATCACCTCCTACTAGTACTAAGCAGACCTGCACTACTGCAGCAAATGCCTTGACTGATAGTTCTTGTATTGATACCCTCCCTCGCTCACCAATGTACTGCTGGCGACATCTCCCCTCCCACACCGCCAAAACCCTGTTACTGCACAACAACAGGAGCTCTGGGCCTCCACAGCTCACTCTTGCAGGCACACCTACAGGCTGAGACCAGCCTCCTTCCTCACAGGAGACAGCTCCATCTTTTAGGCGTCCCTCCTCGCAGGGGACATCTCATTGTAGACATGCAGGTGGAACCCCTTCCCTTTCTCTTCGCCACCGCCCCTACTCCAGTACTCCAGAGAGCACAGCGCAGCCGTGGGTGGTGGTGGCGTTGGTGGTGGTGGTGGTGGTCCATCTCTTCCTGGCCCCTACGCCCAGTCTTCCAGCTCAAGAAAGAAGCTGATGGAGCTGCTGTAACGTGACGCAGAGTTGGGTCCGGGCCTGGGGAATTGTGGTGGGTGATGAGCATTGAAGGGCTTGGAGGTCTCGCAGTGGGGGCTCGTCTGGGGCCGGTGAGGCGCAGAGAGGATGGACCACATGAGCTGCATCTATTCATTATCTATCATGCTCCCACGTACCGAGCCAAACGACCACTTCAACTAAGTTGTACCCTTCATATCTCCCAAAGATCGCACGCATCCCATCTCTCTCTCTTCCTCATGCTCTCCACTCTTTCTTTTGTCTGGGTCTTCAAAGCAGCCGAGAGAGAGAGAGAGAGAGAGAGAGAGAGAGAGAAAGAGAGAGAGTTCTCGTGGAGACCAACTCAGTGTCAACGGCGCATTGCTTGCGTGGAAGACACTGCGTCTTTTGTGTCGGAGGTTTCGGGAGAGATCAGCAGCTTCTCTCGGTACCGTGGAACAGGAGGAGGAAGGTTGGCATGAGTGCACCATGTGAGAGACGTGGGCGTCGATGCAAGAACAAGAGGTTTCTGCAACCCCCCCCATGTCGTGGGGTGTCAATAAATGGCGACGAGCTGCACTCACTAACCCGTCAGAAGGCGATAACATAGTAGCAATAAATGCGAGCTCGCGGAAGGCAAATGGCAACGATCGGCAGCAGCAACAACATCAGGAAAAGAAACCTTGGTGTGCGAGACAGCCTCTCTTAACTCACTCCCATGGCGAAATATAACTGTTCATTAATGGCAGCAAGTAAAACCAGAAAGGTTGAGGTCATCGTAGTCACAGAAAGCAGTAGAGAGAGAGAGAGAGAGAGAGAGAGAGAGAGAGAGAGAGCAAGACTCCAAGGAAATTCCCCGCCCATGACTCGCATCATTTCTGATGCATAATTTCGCCAACTTTCTCCAGAGATAAGACATGAAGAACGGGGAATTGATGATGGTAGAGCAGCATTTCATGGCGTACACGATTCAAAGAGACGAATAGAACAGCCAGCTCGTGGTAGTACTCCTCCCTCTTGTCCTCCTCAACAAGTGTGGTGTAGGAAAGAGAAGAAAGAGGAGATGAATCCAACAGTACCGATCTCGTAATAGATTGATTACACCCTCCATCTCCTGCTGCTCGGAAACGCAATTCGTCACCTCCAATTCTCCCTGCGTTTACCAAGAGCAACGGCAGGCCCTCTTCCTGCTGCTCCCCATCTCCATCACTGAGACCGCATTCATTAGTGCCCAACACCCACTTCATTTCCCCGACGCATGCATATCCAACAGCCATAATTCCACTATTGCTAAGCAAGAAAAGGACTACAACTACAACCATGGAAAAATGTAAACTGAGACGGGCAGGGAAAAGGATAAAGAGGAAAGGAAGAGCTACTAAACCAAATATAACAAAGACCAACGAAAGGAGGAGCCAACGAGAGAAGGGGGGGAGGAGGAACGGAGCCGAACTCAGATGAAGTGGAGAACAAGCGGCAAATGGCGGTGGCGGTGGTGCATGGAGGCTGGCTAGGGTTTCTTACCCAGGGTGTGCTTGTTGTTGTGCATCCAGACCTTGAGCACATGGCGCTTGACGCACGTCTCGTCGCAGAACTGCTGCACCGCCGCCTCGTCTTGCTTCTGGATCCGCCACCCAACCCGCTCCGCGAACACCAACATCTTGTCCTTCTGGTCCTGCGTGAACTTGGTCCGGAACCGCTTCCTGTGGCTCCCCGAACCCGATGCCCCCATCCCGCCGCCCGCCGCATACCCTCCTCCGCCCCCGCCGCTTCCCATCATCGGGTTGGACACGTCGTCCTGGTCGTCCCGGCTGTGCCATCCCCCCCCTCCGCCGCCGGACGTCGACGGCAGCGCGAGCGGCAGCAGCCTGTGCTGCTGCCCAGCCGCCGCCGCGACTGGCACGGCCGCCATGTGGGGTTGGTGCGGCGGTTGGTGATGGTGTAGGTACCCCGCCGCCGTCCGGTAGAACGGGGAGAACTGGTGGTGGTACCCGGCTACCTCCAGCGCTCCCCCTCCACCTCTTCCTCCCTCGCCGCCCTCCGCTTCCTTCCGGTGGAAATTGCGGTGGCAGCTGCATGCGGCGCACCGTAGCGCGTCGAGCGTGCCGTCCTCCCCCGCCGCCAAGAACTCACCGCAGCCGTCCACCGCGTGTCCCCCGATCCCCACCGCGTGGTTCTTTAAGCACTCCCTGTACCTTCCTCCTCCTGCGCCGCCGCCCACCTTCCGGTTCCCGGACCCGAGCCCACCCGCTTCCCCCTCTCCGCCTCCCATCCTAGCTCCTCCCCCTCCTCGAGGCGAATTAGGCATGGGGGTCTCGTAGCTCGAACCCACCGGCAAGCCCATCTCTTCCTCTGTCTCATCGTGGTCGTCGAAATCCATGACCGCCGCCGACCCCTGCCCAGATCTCGGGTTCAGCAGCTCCGCCTGCCTCAGTCTTCCCTCATTATTTTAACTCCGCGGGTTTGAGAAGATAAGCGCGAGAGGCGAGCGTGGCGGCTATCAATTCCAGTACTCGCTCTCCCTCTCTCTCTCTCTCTCTCTCTCTCTCTTCGAGCTTTGTGATGATATAAGCTCTTCTCCCTCTTCTTCCCTCCCGTCACGCCCACCTCTCTCTCTCTCTCCGAGCCTTGTGATGAGATAGCTCTCGATTTTTCCCACTTCTTCCCTTCCGTCACTCTCTCTCCTCTTCTCTCTCCTCTCTCTCTCTCTCTCCGTATGAGCTGTAGTGGCAGCTTAAGCCCACATCTAAACACCCACTTTCCACACTGGTTAGACCCACTGGATTTGAAGCCATACTTGTCTGGCTTTTACGGTCTCACTCTGCACTCTCATGGCCATGGCGGTGAATGGTGAAAGCGTCGCCTCATGCTGAAATGACCAATCACCCAAAACCACACACCGAATATATCAGACATTAAAAGAAACCAAAAAGGAAGCTATGAAATGATGAACGCCAACTTTTTTACTTATCAGATTCACAACCAAACAAACAAACAAACAAATATTAGATTTCTTCTTTCTGTTGAACACACACCCACCCATCCTCATCCTTCATGGCGCCGATGATGAGCCCAATGGCATCGTCTTCGGATTCGTGTCCATCTCTTTTGATATTTACTCGTCGTGCCTTCATATTTTGATATCTCATGCATATACTCTCTCTCTCTCTCTCTCTCTCTCTCTATTGATTTTTTTGTTTGTTTTGTTGCCTCGTAATGTCACCACTAAACTTGTATCGCTAAGAGACTATATGACAGACAAATAGAGGATTATTATCAACATGTCTTGATCACCCAGTGATGGATTGACTGGCTTGATAAAGTTGACCAATCATTCCTCATCCATCATTAAATACAATATTAAAGCAAACATAAATTGTTTGCCAATCCAAATGTGCCCCATGCTAAGATATATGTTTCTTGCAAGATTTCCCAAGAGGCTACTACTAGCTAGGTAGTAAGTACCATACACTGATATCTTCTAATTTTACATATCAACAAATCTCATCTTGGCATTAATTGACAACACCCTAATCTTTAGACTAATTCTTCACAATAATATTTGTAAGTCATGATAAGGTCACATCAAACAGACCACAAAATCCTATAATTTTATGTGCTGTCCACATACTGCACTCCCAATGGTGGATTCGGGGGCAGAAGAATGTCTGTTGAAAAAACAAAAAACAAAAAATGAAATAAAATAAAGCATTGTGCCCTCTCATCTTCTGTGTCGAAAACCTTATCTTGAAGAGAGAGGGTTAGCTACCACAGACTGTGAATTGCTCCTAAGCAGGCTAACGTGGTCCTCCACACAGTGCACTGAGCTGATGCTGTGAGGGTTATGGAACTTTGTCCATTCTTTTCTCTCATTAGTAGGGGACTGATGTGGATGGGTTTGATTCACTTCATACCTCACTTAATTTGTAGTACATCAACTTTAGTGGGGATTCTTTTTTATTGTTGTTATTTATAGATTGCAAAGAGCAGTGAGAGGTGATTGACACTTGTGATATTGGACAAACTCCACCATGTATGCTTGCAAAAGTCCAAGAACCCACAACTAATCAGTACAGTGGTTACTATTTCATTTTCTTCTATCAACACCTCTCTCTCTCTCTCTCTCTCTATCCCTCCTGTGATATATGTAATGTGTAAATTTTTTTGTGAAATTGTAGGCCAATTTTCATAATGGGTGTTTATTTGTGATGGATTAAATTTTCTTTTATTTTTGTATAAATAATATATGGGACTGAAAAATTTATATAAAGTTTGTGGCCCAAAATTAAGTTAGAAGATAACGTAAGATATTCTTTTAGAGGTCAATTTTCTATGTGTTAAGATATTCGAATTGATTAGTGTATTATTATATAAGTGATAGATATCAAATTTAAGTTCGAACCTCATATACGTCATTTGATTTGGACAATAATAACCTACGTCTCACTATATTTCACAAGTCACTTCATCCATATAAGTAAAAAAGGGATAATTTGGATGAAATATTGATAAAAATTATTATCAATTATCAATATGATGTTATGTTACATAGTTAGCCCCAATATTAATATTTTAAATACCATCGAGATTAATATACACCGATTGATATTCAAGTTCGATCAAGTATTGAGAGCAAATCGTATGTATGTTTGGATATCGGTTGACATTTAAAATTTTATTAATTTTAAATATATTCAATAAAAAGATACAAGTAAATCATTTAATAAGTGAATATCCTAATGGATTAAAATGATTAATGGTAACTAACATTCAAAGCAAAATGTTAGGTAATTGCACAAACGGGCGGACAATGATTTGATATGAACTTTATGAAATTGCTGAGATTATCTTGTGTTACCAGGAAAATATCATACATTGTTGGTGTTTATGTGATTGAAAATGTTAAATATTTTAAGTGACTTAAACGAGGTGTTCAAAACTTTTTTTTTTTGGGTATAAATGTTTCGATTCTCACAATTTAATCCCCTTTTTAATCTTCCTCATTTCCTTGCAACTCTTGTAAAGTTAATGACGATGGTGCCTACTTTTGATTAAAACAGATATAATTGAAGTCCACTTTTTTTAGCTTTGTATAAGCTAATCATACTAAAAAGTTTTAGCCTCATGACATGGATCTAAAGTAGCTCTTTCTTTTCAATTCAATTATATTTTATATATATATATATATATATATATTATCACACAAATAATAGATATAAGGTTTGAATACATATATGATCATCAAACATATATGAATACATATATTTAATATAAAAATTGAAGGAGACTATTACATCTGAGAAATCATTTTTCCTGAAATATTATATATATATATATATATATATATATATATATATA